CGAATACCTCAAGCGTGTGACGGAAATGTTATGCCCCTTACCATACTGTGATGCCCTGTCCGGCCGGAGCGAGTAGAGTGAGCGGAGGCCGGTGGCTAGAGTGAGGAACGGCCGGTGGGCTTGCAGCAACCACATGTGATGACCCGGGGCTGGACTCCGCTTCATCCACTGTGAAAGCCGATCCGGCGATCCACAGCACGAAGTTGATGTATTCCCTCAGCGACCAGCACGGATCAGCTCTAGGCATGACGAAGCGGTTATCATCCTCTTTTGGAAGGCCAAACAAAGTAGTTTCACTTTCACAACGAAACACACAGCATCTCCATGACATGGCGGCAGCAACAATACTAGAGCGAGAATAAAAGTTACGCCTTCTTTCTTTGCGTGAACATTTGGCGTCCCACATAGTGACGTAGATATGTGGGGGCGTGTTAGAACGAGCCATTTTAGGTAGGCGTGGTTGACTCTTTCACTTTTTTATGAAGAATATCTATTTGGATTTGAGACTTTAGTCTTTGCAACTTTACAGATCTTGTTTATGCACCAAGAGCTTGTAACACTTCAAAGAGAAAGGAAAAATTGAAATCACATCATATGACCCCTTTAAACACATATGGTTTAAAACGCATGATTTCAGCACGATAAACATGATAATCAGAACCAAAACAGATGTTTTTAGCAGGTACGATCTGTAACGGCACAGCTCTATTCTGGAAAAGGGGCGGGGAGCAGCATCTCTTTTGCATTTAAAGAGACAGGCCCGAAAAACAACGTGTTTCTGCTTCCACTCAAAATAGGCATTTTCAAAATGACATAATACATGATCTGTGGGGTATTTTGAGCTGAAACTTCACACACATTCTGGGGACACCAGAGACTTATATTACATATTGTAAAAAGGGGCATAATATGTCTCCTTTAAATGAAATTTGGGATGGTCAAATAAACACACTTGCTTCCAAATCAAATTACACCATTCCTCGTCACGTCAAAACTCATTGATTTTCCCACACAAAACACTATACCTCACTGTTTGCTTTTCTCCCTGTGTAATTGTAGTTTAAAATAGACAGGCACGCACACGTTACTCCAACAATACCCAATTAAACAATGAAAAGTCTCTCAATTTACTTTGTGTTTTGCTCTGTAATCCCAACAGAAGTACTTCCTTTATTATAATTGGTTCCAGAGCACCCATTCAAAACATCACCGCAGTGGCATCTTTATTCCAAAGACAGCTGCAAAGCAAGATAAGTGGAAAGTATTACCTCCATAGCTCTAACATGATTTATAGTGTTGTTAAAACGTCTCAAAATATTGAAAGTGTTGTGGATACCTGATGCCTCCAAGAGAATGTCTTCAAAAGATAAATTGCACAACTGCAGCAATTCAAGATGACTGGAAAAACTGCATGGACAATTAGAGGCAAGAGGTCACATAACAAAGTAAGTGCAGGCGAGAGATTTCATGACACAAAGGGACAAACTGTGATAGCTGCAAAGAAAAACCTCATGTGTGATGCATTTGGTTAATAATATTGTACTGGGACACTGGGACATAGGCCTGCGATATTGATTTACGTGGAATAAAAGAAAAAAATGCCTTGATTGTAACTGTTTCTCCAGTCAAAGTTTGACAAAACAACGGAAACAGGAAAACAATCAGGAAAAATCATAAAAATTAACTTTTATTTTATCACACCTGAAAATTGGAAGTCATTCATCCAAGTCACCTCAAACAGCCCCCGTGCATCTTTGATTGGATGGTATTCCACTCAATTAGCATGCTAATGAGGGCATCTTGTGTCTCATTGCGTCGAAGGCTCTGACAGGACAACAGCAATTAGCATAAGCCAATATCAATTTACTGAGAGACAGAAACCGATTTGTGGAGGGAAGGCATAGGGCCACAGAGCTGGATTTTTAGACAATGAAAAGTGCTGATGCTAAATGGTTTTCCTCTTTGTTGTGATCACACTACAGGATAGCAGGAATAATTATCATATCAGATAAACAAGAGGTTGTGCATTCACATTTAAGGTGGTATGGATGTAAGATATAACATAAGTGTCTACATTTTCTTAAATGATTCAAGTCTAATTGTTATTTATTGTATTCTAGACATTTAACTGCTGTCTGTCAAGACATTTATCTCAAACGTCAAAAGTATCCTTCAATAGCATTTTGACTGAGGTGAATGAATTTGGCTATCACAGTTCTCTAGCATTCAAAGTCATCTCAGATTTATCTCAATGAAAGTACTTCACGTGAGTGTGTAGAGTTCACTGAAACTAAAACACAAAACTATGCAATAATAAATGTATGGAATCAATGAATGGACCAAATATTTTTGCTACATTAAAAATATTTTTTCATTAGTCTATAAGAGCCACTTCAACAACTCACGCAGAAAGAATCTGAAAACTATGTTGAGCCCAAGCCTGTGACTCAGAAGGTATGCCAATGAAACACAAAAACCATTTGCAAAAAGCAAAAAAAGCATAAAAGGTATAAGGTATAAGCAAAACAACAAAACAAAAAAATGTGCTAAATGAATAAATGTCAATGTTTTTTTTTTCTGGAACAGGCAGGAATTTTCTAAACATGCTCTGACTCTTCTTTTGTTATGCATATTTAGATTTATGACAAATAACCCAAAACCTGCCATTTCATAAGAGAGGAGCAATAAGCACATATATGCACACGATTCCATCTCTAGACAGAGATTTTCTATACTTTTCAAACAAGTGCTTAGTGTAATGCAAAGCATAACGACGCCATTTTGCAAAACTCCATCCTGAGTCCTTTCTGCCTATTCACATCAAATCTCATCAATTTTTCCCCCCAATGGACTACTTTACAAACATTACAGCCAGACTGCTGATGATAAGGGAAATAATTATTCCAGTGAACTCATGCCATTTCTTTCTTAGAAGTTTTGCAGGGGAGATTTCAATACAGGCAGTGGTGCAGGTCAGAGCTTACTTTATTAGGTTGAAATGTTACAGGTGGACTGGCATTTAGGTTAATGAAGAAAATTATTGTCTAGATAAAAATAACAGGGCACACTGTCATTGGATCAGGGCCTCTGACCTACAGCATGATATACAAAGCAAATAATACATTGGCAATATTTAAATATATTAACCTTTTCTGTTGCTCCATTCACATCTGGTACAATTACCTGATGCTAAAGTTTTGAGTTCAAACTCACTGAAGTTGCTTTAAAGTTACACAGAGTTAATAAGCAAGGCGATGCTGATGTTTTAAAGAGTTTAGTCATAATTTCAGACAAACTACAATATTTTCACACAAATCATAAATGAACCTGTCAGAATGAGTAAGATGCTCTATATATCTGGAAACTTGAGCGGAACACAAGAGCTATATTAAGGTTTGATAAATTAGATGAGTTATATCTTACATTATTGGAAATGCCATTTGAATGCATAACTCAGACTCAGTGTTTATTGTAAATGAGATGCAGCAGGGAGGTTTTATGCAGTAAGCTAGGTGCACACTGCTCAAACACCAAGACCTTGTTGAGTGAATTAACAGTCTAGGATAAGTGTCAATTCCGCATTCAGTGGTGAGAGTATTCAAAATCAAATTCCCCACAACTTTAAAGTGTTCAGGCAATCACATGCCACTTTAATTTAAATAAGATGGCACCCTTTGCCAAGACAATTTCTTTTTCTTTCCTATTACAAATATGACAAAAAAAAAAAAAAAAAATTCAACAAGACTATCTAAAAATAGCAAACAAATGGAAGAAAATATGGTAATATTGGTAATATACAATTATATTGAATGTAACATTCTCAAAAAAAAAAAAATAGACTATATGTTCACATTCTGGTAATACTGCTGGATTATATTTTTCTTCAACCATAACAATTAAACAACCCAACTAATCAATTAACTAACTAACTGGGAGTCTAAGCCATGTACAACGATTTGTAGTAAAGGGGGATGTGAAGCCTGATTTATACAAATAAATAAATAAAATTGAACAAACAAACAAATAACCACCTCTATATCTTTTTTAGGAGTCTAGGTCATGTGCACAGATTTGTAGTAAAGGGGGATGTGAAGCCTGATTTATACAAATAAATAAATAAAATTGAACAAACAAACAAATAACCACCTCTATATCTTTTTTAGGAGTCTAGGTCATGTGCACAGATTTGTAGTAAAGGGGGATGTGAAGCCTTTTTTTTTAAATAAATAAATAAATATAAAAATTGAAATGAATAAAAATGA